GGGGGTTACAGTGAACCGGATTACTGCTATGGCAATTCCATGGTTGGACCACCATGCCCTGAGGGAGCTATTTTGCAGATAAAGTCTTGTCGCTCCACCGCGACCTGCCTGCCACATTTGAGACAGTGAGCGAATTCGAGGCTCCATGCATGTCTTCTGGTCCCATTATGAATTATTTCATTCCACTCAGCCTAGAGGAACTTGACAGATTGATCTTAACTGTACGCCCAACCACATGCAGCCTGGACCCGTGCCCCTCATGGCTAATTAAAGCTGGCTGCGAGGGGTTTTGAGGCGCCCTTAGGGACATTATCAACAAGTCCCTCTCTGAGGGACTGTTTCCAGGGGCTCTCAAGGAAGTGATGGTCCGCCCTCCTAAAAAAACCCATCCTCGGATCCAGTAGAATTGGCGAACTATTGGCCGGTATCCAATTTGCCCTATTTAGGCAAATTAATAGAGAGGGTGGTGGTGATACAGTTGCAGAGCTTTATGGATGACACTTTCATGCTAGATCCCTTCCAGCCCAGCTTCCGCCCAAGCCATGGGAGGGAGACGGCGCTGGTCGCCCTCACAGATTACCTCCAGAGGCACCCGGATCAGGGAGGGACGGCAGTGCTACTGTTGTTAGACCTGTCAGCGGCATTCAACACGGTCGACCACCGGTTGCTCGCCCACCGCCTCACTGACATGGGGATTCAGGGGCTCACCTTGCAATGGCTTGTCTCCTTTCTCCAAGGTTGGGGACAAAGGGTAGCTCTTGGGGAGCAGCTGTCCCGAAGGCACCCACTAATCTGTGGAGTGCCTCAAGGGGCGATGCTCTCCCCTATGCTATTTAACATCTACATGCGCCCCCTTGCCCAGATTGCCCAGAGGCATGGGCTAGGGTGTCACCAGTATGCGGATGACACCCAGCTGTTGTTGGGCAGTCAGTCTGAGTCTACCCCAGAAGACCTGGACCGGGCATTGCAGGACGTGGCTGGATGGTTTAGACTGAGCCGATTGAAATTGAATCCGATGAAGATGGAGGTCCTGTGCCTGAACCAGAGTGGCTCGGGGGTAGGGATCCAACTACCAGCCTTCGATGGGGTGCCGTTAGTGCCAGTGCTGAAGGTCAGGAACTTGGGAGTGCTCCTGGATGCTTCCTTGACAATGGAGGCCCAGATAGCAGCCGCTGCCAAAGCAACCTTTTACCATCTTTGGCTGATTAGGCAGTTGGATCCCTTCCTTGAACGCAAAGATCTGGCTTCAGTGATCCACGGTATGGTCACCTTGAGGCTGCAATGCTCTCTACATGGGGCTGCCCTTGGGACAACTCCGAAAGCTGCAGCTGGTGCAAAATGCGGCGGCCAGGCTGTTTGCCCCGTGTTTTCCCTGCCGTGTGGCAGGGGCCTATGTAGGCCTCTTGCAGCCTGAACCAAGCTTTTCTTAAAGCCACTGAAACAAAAAATGGCTTTTCATTACACAAGACCCCTGCAAGAGCCTCCCTCCAGGAAGGCTCTGGGAAGTCTGGATCTCCCCAGATCTCCCACTGGGACCCGGAGGTTTGGGGGTTCCTTGGGAGCTCTCCCAGGAGCCCTCCGAAGATGGCAAGTCACAAACCAGAAGTCTCAAGTTTTCCAAATTTTTTAACCTCTAGATATTTTTGGTCAGACTTTTTAATGTGTGTTTCCTGCAAACATATGACATCCAATTGTAGTTTCTTAAGATGCTGGAATATTTGTATTCTCTTTTGTGGGGCGTTTAGTCCATTCACATTTATTGAGATTATCTGCAGTTTCCTTCTATCCATTTTTTTCTTCTGGTTTGCTTCCATTTCTTTTTTTGTCTTGAAGTCTCGTGTTCACCTGGAACGGAACCATCTTGGGTTTCGTCTTAGGAATCTTTGGTTTGGATTCAGCCTTGTCTTGCTTCTGGGATTCTTCTTCCAAGTCCTTGGGTACTTCTTGATTCCCTAGGTTTTCTCCATGGGTTTTTAGGAAGTCCTCTACTTCCTTGTTCACTGCTGAAGAAACATTCTCTTTTATGAGCGCTTGCAAATCTTGGACTGACATTTGAGCCAGTTTTGTAATTAGTGTCTTAGGTTGCCCGGGAGAGGGAATGGAAGCTTTTCTATCCCCACTAGACATTTTTCCCTTTTTTTAAAAAAAACCCAGCTCCCCAGCCACTTCTCTCCCTTATTCACAGTGTTAGCAAGTCAAAGTCAACAATTCCTTCAATTAATGACTGTCCTTACATATGTTTACAATCCTAGTTACAGTTCTATCAAATGTTTTTGTTACAGGAGGAACACTTTATACCTAAACAAAATTTACAGTTATGCTTGTTGGCTTCTCAATTGTTGATATTATTGGAGGAACATGTTATAACTAAACAAAGCTTTCAGATACTATCCCCAGCTACCTCTATTACTCATACAATAAAAGTTACTTTCTCACACAGCTGACATCTTATTTACTGTTTGTTTGTTTTGTTTAAGTCTGTTCCCTCTATGTCATCTCAAGATGATGCTTAGGTAATCCAAAAATGTATAAGTTTCTACAGCTCCTTCTTTCCAGAAAGCAAAAGTATGGTATATAATTATAATATATTTGTAATCCAGAGGATCTTCTTCTCCATTGCAAAATCAAAGAAAAAAGAACCAATTTAATCCACAAGGAAATCTTCTTACTCCCAAAGTCAAAATAGATCCAAAACCATCCCTTAAATTCCACTATAATAATATAGAAAAAAATCAAGATATCAGTGAGCAGACAAAAGGGGAAAATATCCAAAAAGCCAATATATTTCACTGAAAATGGCCAAGAAAGAGTTATAAAATCAAAGCAGGTAGCTGTTCACAATTAAACAGATTATAATCCAATCGAAAGTCCATACAGTTTATCCACAAATCTTTATATAAAGCCAGAAAAGGAAAGGGGAAAAAAGGAAACAGAGCCTATTTCAACAATTCCACCATCTTAAAACCAAAACTCCTGGCAGACACACAGTTCCTGTCTTCTTCTTTGTATAAAAAGCCTAATTAATTCCCAGGAAGTTTTCCACTATGGGTTAAGTAAAAATCCCAGTTGAGACAAAGTTGTGCAGCATGCAGTCTTTTCAGCCCCCTTTATAATATAGTAAAATATTAGATGAAAAGAAATCCAGGCTCCTCTTGTAAGCCGCTATTCCATCTGCATCCCTATGCCCTAGTGAATCTAACATCTGATTGTATTGCCCCCCGGTTGTGGATGGCGGCACTGGAACCGGCTTGGAGTATGAGACTGTCGGTAGTTAGGTGACGTTAAGATCTTCCCTCTTGCTGAAGTTTGTTGTATATTGATATTCCTGATTGTAATCTATGGTTTTAAACTATCTGTGATTGGTTTTAATGATATGTTTTGTTTTAAACTATATGATATTGTTTTACTTGGCACTTGGTGCCTCTGTTAGCCGCCCTGAGCCTCCGGGAAAGGGCGGGATATAAATGCAAATAAATAAATAAATAAATAAATAAATAAATAAGCCAGGAGGGGGAGGAAACAACTTCCACACCTCCTTTCTTTTTTCTCTTTACTTTAACCTTCAGGGGGAAAGTAGGTCTTTAAAACACTTAGTTCAGGTTGTATAGTCTCGCTACTCACAGTGCAGATGTTGGTAATAATGCAGAAGTTGATGTTATTGCTCCTTGAAGGGTCGATCACGTCTTTGCGCTCTGTGGCTGCCAAGGAATGCTCTCTTGCAGGTCCCTGCATTGGGACGATCTGGGGTCTACTCATGCACTGCCGCATGTGAGAGCCCTCGGATCAAGTCCCCTGCCACGAGCCCCCCTACGCGAAGGCTTGTTAGGATTTGGACAAGCCTGGACCCCCTGCTCAGGAGATTCGCCGGTTCCGTGGGAGCTCTCCCGGGACTGTGCGAAGACGACGCGTCACAGACCGGAAGTCTGATCCCATGATTTCGCTGGCTCCTGCCCATCACTAGCCAGCTGGCTGGTGGGGGGAAGCCTCATCCCCAAATGCCATGACCCAGCATGATGTCCCCAGTGTGATGACATCATGTGGAAGTGAAATCATCACGCTGGGGACATCGTGCGGCAATGCTCTGGTATTTTGGGCAAAACTCTATGGTAACCATAGAATTTTGCCCAAAATACCAGAGCATCACCGCACGATGTCTCCCGTGTGATGATGTCACTTCCATATGATGTCATCATGGGAATGTCATGCATAGTAATATCGCTCCACCCCCCACTCCTGGAATGTTCTCTCCCACCCCCTGCCAGCGAGGAGGTAAGACATGGCAACCCTATTTGTGCCAGTGTAGGGGTTTGGTTGACATAAGCATTTTCCAGAATTGTTTTAGGATGACGCCCTCAATTTATCACTGGAGGAAGATATTCCAGACTTTGCACTAATTATACCAGCCTTCCTTCTGTGTTTTTGCAGAAAATCTAGACCTGTGCTTGTCCCTTCATTCCCCCAGTTGTCTTGCACATGCTTCCGTAAGCAGCCCAGGTAGATTATTTGTGCTCTATGAAACCAACTGAAATTGATACCACTCGCTGCTTTTATTGTGTGTTAGCTTATGAAGGTTTTATCATATGTCAGTTGTGTTCATTGTATGGTATTGTTTTACATAGGTGAAACTGTGCACCTTGGGGTTCCACAGCACATTTTTACACAAAAACATTCCCCAAATAATTTAGCTTGATTGACTCACTAAGGAGAGTGGACTCTAATCTGGGAGAACTGGGTTTGATTCCCCACTCCTCCACATGCAGTTGCTGGTGTGACCTTGGGTCAGTTACAAGTTCTTTCAAAGCTGTTCTCTCATGAGCAGATCTTGAAAGAGCTCTCCCACCTATCTCACAGGGTGTCTCTTGTGGGGAGGTGAAAGGAAAGGAGATTGTAAGCCGCTCTCAGACTCCTTTGGGTAGTGAAGGGCAGGGTATAAATCCAATCCCCCCCTTCTTCTTCGACATGTATGTAGTACTGAAGACCAGCTTTCTCTTTTTTGGCAGGCAACCTTGGTTTTATGGCTGGGGCTTCAATCTTCCACGAGGCCAAGCACTCTTAGAGAAATGGAATCTCATTCCAGAAGGAATCGATATTCTTATAACACATGGACCACCTCTTGGTAAGAAAATGCTGTAAACTAATTATCCATTTCCGTTCATCCTAATTTATCTATATATCCTTGGGGATAGAGAATGGCTTCTAGTCTCTGTTGTCTCAGCTTAGTTCTTGGGATGTAAAAATTTGTGTGACTCTGAATTACATTACAGTGAAACAGTATTCTCACTACATCATAGTGTAAGTCATACTATCAATAAACCCCATTGATTTAATAAGTGGCATAAATAAAATGCTAGGAATGTACTTTTGTGCTCCCCACTTCCCTGAATGATGAGAAATTCCAGGGGTGGCAGTACAAGTTTCCAGACATGAGAATACTGAAGACTCCCCAGCCTCTTTGATTTATTTATAAATATGCAAGTAGAGCATACTGGCGGAGCAAGCAGCAAATCTGCTGCCTCTAAATCAGATTCCCAGACAGAACCCAGTTCAAAGCTCCCTGTGTCTTTCTTGCTTTCTGTTGTTGCCTCTGAATTTAATCGCAGAATACCAAATTATTTTTCTGCCTCTGATGGACCCCGTCCACTTCCCTCCCTCAGAGGCAAGATTTTCCCTCCATTTCTATTTCCCTTCTCTGACTGAGCAGCCCTGGTAGCGTGTTTATGCTTCCCTTGAAGAAACCTTGTCTGTCTCACCCTGTCAGTAAGGTGTAGTTTGGCTATTTGCTCAGCCCAGGAACTGGAGGGAAGGTATAGGATCACCCTTAAACCCTTGGAAAACGGCATTTGAGATGCTTAAAAATTCAAAAATAACAAAAAGTTCTATTTTAACATCAAAGGGAAAGGTCAGATGAAATTGGAGGTTGAAATTACTGTGGTAAAACTATTACAAGCACAGACTTTTGTTTTTATATATCAGGCTAATGAGAGGTTCTTAAATTATTCACAGTTACTTAGATCTTTATGTTGAGAGACTTTTGTTGTTTATACTTTATTTTTATAATTGCTGACTTTTTGGTGCCCAGAAGGCTGGTACCCTCTTCCCAGTATCCAATCCCCTTCTCTTTGGAACACCAGTACTCTTCTTGAGTGTTTGACTGACTTCTAAGGTCTCTACAGGCAGTTCCTAAACACACCAGATGAGGGATCTCTGTACTCCTCAGAGATACCTCTCTGTTTGACCTGGTAGGAAATCTTCTCACTCTAGCAGATCTACCCCCTTTCCCTTTAGCCTGAATGGGAGTCTTCTCTACTACCCACTTCCTAGCCAAACTCTCTCCCCCATCCCCAGTGCTCCTGTCTGTGTTCAAACGGCTCTCAGCTAATGCTGAATTCAGACTGCGTTCAGTCAAGGTAGAAATCTGACTCTGTCAGCAATAAACCATTTTTGATAGGTCTATCCGTAGACAGTCTCAGGCTGCGGTCACACGGAACATTAGCCACCCTAGTCAGACGGAAGACATGCGGAGTTTCCGGACGCGATCTCACCGGCACGTCTGGGAAGCGTAGCACTCCCGTGGCTCAAACGAGGCTTCCCGCTGAAACCGCGCAGCAAAAAACTAGTACCTCGGAGGTACTAGTATCCGGAAACCGTGGGGCAAGGGCGGGCGTCTGATCGCGTTTCCGGTGGCATCCGGCGCCCGCCCAAGTTCCCGTCTTTGCGAAAAAGTTTTTCCCCCAGGTCTTCGTGGATGCGCAAAAGCACCCTACGGAGCATGCGCAGTCGTGCTGTACAGAAAAAAAAACTATCCAGTTTGCCGAACCGCGTGCTTCGTTTTTGCGCGCGGGATTGTGCTGCGATCGGCACCTCTCCCTTCCCATGGGACCTCCACGGTACTTCCACGGTACCTCCACGGGAGGTCTGGTCAGGTAACGGCGCCTTAGTTTGCCCCGGGGCACACTGCCACGCTTCCCCCCCGCGGTTTCCTGCTCGTGTGACCGGGGCCAATGTACACATTCTCTTCACAGTAAATACAGGAATCTGATTGAGAGAGCATCTAGCTCTCGCAAGACTTTTTTTGCTCAGCTGATGCCAACCAATCAGATTGCCTGTAGCAGCCTGTCACTCAAGGCTCTCTGGCTCTGTGAAGAATTAGTTGTTGGTACAGCACTTCTAAGGAGCTGCAGTGGCTCAAGTGGTTAAGATGCTGAACTGCAGGCTGTAGAAGGTCAGTAGTTCAGCAGTTCAAGACCCGGGTGCAGCATGATGGAGTGAGCTCCCATCTCTAGTTCCAGCTCCTGCCAACCTAGCAGTTCGAAAGCCAGGCATTGCAAGTAGATAAATAGGTACCACTTTGGTGGGAAGGAAACAGCGTTCCGTGCGCCTTGGTGTTTAGTCATGCCGGCCACATGACCACGGAAACGTCTTCGGACAGCGCTGGCTCTTCGGCTTTGAAACGGAGATGAGCACCGCAACCCTAGAGTCGGACTCGACTGGCTTTCGAGCAAGGGAACCTTTACCTTTACCTTTACAGCACTTCTGAGCCTCTTTAAAAGTGCAGTCCATCACACTGCCATATTTTTGAACTTTGAGGAGTAACTCCTGAAAGCTGGAGTCCAAGAAATCAGTGATTAAGATCTATTTTGCTACTGTGGCTAAAATTCTTGCTGTTCAAAAAAATTATTTCTTATTTTATTTGATCTATTTATATCCCGCCCTTCCTGCAAGCAGGCTCAGTGCAGGTCACAACAATAAAATCCAATACTATCTTAAAATGATTCAGTCAATAAATATAAAACATTAAATTAATACAATAAAACCAGTTAAAACAGTTAAAACGGGCAATGCAGCAAATTTCAATTTTCAGTTCCTACTGTCCGGAATGAATGGGCCAATGCCAAGCCATAAAGGTCTCATTAATAGTTGCATACTGGAACAGCAATAGGGAGGCCAGCTTGTAGATGCCCACTGCCTCAGCCAAAGTCCTGGTGGAACAGCTCCGTTTTGCAGGCCCTGCAAAACTGTAACAGGTCCCACAGGGCATGTTCCACCAGGCTGGGGCCGGGACCAAGAAAGCCAGGTGAACATCTTTCGGGCTGGGGACAACCAGCACATGGTTATCCACAGAGCACAAGGCTCTCTGGGGCACATATGGGGAGAGGCAGTCCCTTAGATATGTTGGTTCCAGGCTGCATAAGGCTTTAAAGTTTAGCACCAGCACCTTGAAGTGGATCCAGTACTCAATTGGTAGCCAGTGCAATTGGCGGAGCACCGGCTGGATGCATGCCCGCACAGACATCGCAGTCAGCAGGCAAGCTGCTGCATTTTCCTCCAGCTGGAGGTTCTGGTTCAGCCTCAAGGGTAAGCCCACATAGAGTGAGTTACAGTAATCAAGCCTGGAAGGGACCATTGCATGGATCACTGTAACCAGGTCCCGGAGGGAAAGGTAGGGAACCAGCTGCCTGATCTGCCAAAGATGATAAAAGGCAGATCTGGCAACTGTGGCAATCTGGGCCTCCATAGAAAGTGAGGTATCCAAGGTCACTCCTAGTCTCCTCACCTTCTGGGCTGGCACCAATGGTGCTCCATCCATTGTAGGGAGCCTGGTTCCTGAATCCATTCCCCTCCGGCTCAGGTACGGGACCTCCATCTTTGTGGGCCAACTCTGCCCACAACATCTTCAGCCAACTCTGTTGCAACCACCCAGCCATGGCCTCTAAAGCCCTGTCCAAGCAATCAGGGGCGAAGTCCGAGCAGCCATCCAACAACAGATAGAGCTGGATGTCATCAGCGTACTGGTGGCAACCCAGCCCCAACCCCCGGACTAACTGGGAGAGGGGGCTCATGTAGATGGTAAACAACACTGAAAAGAGGATCTCCCCCTGCGGCACTCTACATTCTAGTGAGTATCACAGGGAGACCCTCTTGCCTAGCTCCACCCTCTGTCCCTGACCATGGAGAAAGGAGGAAAACCACTGTAGGGCAGTCCCCTAAACTCTATGTCATAGTGAAGATGGCCAGACACAGAATACTTGCCATTTCTTAACACTCATACTGAAGCAAGTGAAGGATCTGACTGGAAAAAAAATTCAGGATAATGCCCAAATGTTCCTAATTGACTGTTTTTGATGTTATCTTGCTTCCCAAGCAGTCTTATCTGCTACTGTCTATGTAGATTAGTATTTTACTGGTGGGGAGAAAGTGTTATTGATTATGTTTTAACCAAACCTTTTGTATGATATTCAATTATTTTATGTGGGTTATCGCCCAGAAAGTGACCATCAGCCACTTACGCTCCAGCTAACTAAATTTGATAAAATGCTAAATAATGAACCAGAGCGAACCTTATTACTACCTCCATTGGAAATTACTGCTAATAGTTGACTGAAGTGGTCTCCTACACTTCAATACGAAGTACAGCAAACCTTAAATAGCAAATCATTCCTGGTGTTTAGGAATAAAACCCTTGCTGCTTAAAATGCTGATGATGCTCTGGCCTTGTATAATAAGTTGATTAAATCTTTGAGACCATTCCTAATTAAGACTACTAAGATTATTCAAAATAAGAAGAGGATGAATAATTCCTGGTATGATAAGGAATGTTTGAATATGAAAAGACGTTACATTCTTATAAGATATAGAACATACTCCAAATGAATATCTCCCCAAAGCCTTTTTTGAATTTTGTAATAGTTATAAATAACTGCTTAAGGGGGGGAAATTGTCTTGTATGAAGACTCATTGCAAGAATTGGCTTTGGCATTAGCTCAAAATGATATGACAAAATCTTGGCAACTGCTAGCCAAACTTGATGGGAGAGTTAGCTATGAATTAGATTCTTATATATCAAAGGATACATGGGAGAAACATTATATTTAGTTGTTTAATGATATAGGGCAGAATGAAGAGATTTTAGAATCACCTCTAACAAATTAGATACTGTACCTGTTTGGTCATCTGCTACTTCTAATGAAATAGAATCTCTAATAGCTATAATCAAGAGCAATAAGGCCCCTGGATAAAGTCTTATTCCCTCTGATATTCTTAAGGCTTTTCAAAAATGGTGGGTACCAGTTCTTGCTCATTTATTTACACATATTGATAGAACTGGTAAGATCCCTA